TTTTATAGAACTTCCTTTTAATCTCATGGCACTTAACATGCCAGAGTTTCTTTTGAGAGGTTGCCTTTTCCCCTTCAGGAAATTCAGGAATAGTCAAGAAATGCCTTTGCCCTTCCCTCCCGTTTTATATTGTACTGAACGTAGAACTTTTCAAGAGCTACAAAGCAGATCTAATTATACTTACTGAAATTAACGTAGATGGGGTAATGACTTGAAATAAATGGAGCCTAGTTCAAATATCAAGTGAAAACTCCTATATATTACAAGCTTCCTAAAAACAGTTATATATTTCTTCTCTCTGTCAGCTGGCTTGTGTTAGCTGTTCTTGGCTGCAAATTAGCTTTTCCAACCTGACGACTTCCAGACATGTTGGACATGTTACAAGTCCAATCATCCACAATGGCTTTGGGGCTGAGGATTATTGGAATTACAGTTCAGTATGATTGGAAGCGCCTGAGTGAGGAAGTTTGTCTGTTGGCGCAGTTGCGACTTGAGCCTGCTCTATGCCCCTAGTTGGGGGCGGCAAGGCAAGAGATATTGTAAAAAGAGTAAACTGCAGTATGGCAGTTAAAAATACTATTGGTCCAAACTGATTATACAAAATCCTCCAGATAAAATTTCTTTTCCCCCTTTTACACACTTCTGTACATGCACCTACTAATTGCTTTCTATTTTTAGACTCTGCAGGAAACAAAGCTCCAGTGTTTCCACCAGGAGGGCGAGCAACATCTGCAAAGCCTTTTTCGCCTCCAGGTGGAGTAGGCAGATTTCCGGGCCCTTCTGGACTAAGAGCTCCAGCTTCAGAGCCACAGAGAAACCGAATGGCTCCCTCAAGACCTGACATTGGCTGCAGGCCAGACACGGGTGCTCCTCCTGTGCCAAATACTCCAAGACCTATCCCATCCAGTCTGTACAGCAGGGGTCCACCCCCTGTGCCCGGGGCCAGCAGACAAGCGAGCTTAGGCCTGACCCCTCCACCTTTCCCAGGTAGTAGAAATCCAGGGTCCGGAGGATCCATTCGGCAATCATCACCAGTTACTCCTCCTTCTCCCTTCTCAAACAGGCCTCCTCTCCCTCCAGTACCAGGTAGGCCAACAGAAGATAAGGCACCTCCACCATTACCTCCAACTGGAAACAGGCCCTCTTTTGGCAGGGAGGCTTCCCTACCACCTCCCCCGCCCCAAAACCACAAGCCGCCAATTCCTTCCACACCACGGCCACCTGCAGTATCTCAGGTTCCTCCTCCTCTTCCCCCAAGTCGTCCAGGCCCACCTCCACTTCCACCGGCATCAGGTGGAAATGATGAGATGCCGCGGCTTCCTCAAAGGAACCTATCGCTAGGCTCTT